CGGGAGCGCCGGGGGCCGGGGCCGGGGCTGCGGCCGCGGGGGGCGGCAAGTTCTCCTGCCCGCGGGCCCTCAAGGTGCCCGCCTACCTCAACTACCGCTTCCTGGGCGAGAAGGACTGCGGCGCCCCCTGCGAGCCCGGCCGCCTCTACGGGCTCATGTACTTCGGGCCCGAGGAGCTGCGCTTTGCCCGCACCTGGATCGGCATCTGGTCGGTGCTGTGCTGCGCCTCCACGCTCTTCACCGTGCTCACCTACCTGGTGGACATGAAGCGCTTCAGCTACCCCGAACGGCCCATCATCTTCCTGTCGGGCTGCTACACGGCCGTGGCCGTGGCCTACATCGCCGGCTTCCTGCTGGAGGAGCGCGTGGTGTGCAACGAGCGCTTCGCTGAGGACGGCTCGCGCACGGTGGCGCAGGGCACCAAGCGCGAGGGCTGCACCATCCTCTTCATGATGCTTTACTTCTTTGGCATGGCCAGCTCCATCTGGTGGGTCATCCTCTCGCTCACCTGGTTCCTGGCAGCTGGCATGAAGTGGGGCCACGAGGCCATCGAGGCCAATTCGCAGTACTTCCATCTGGCTGCCTGGGCTGTGCCCGCCATCAAGACCATCACCATCCTGGCCTTGGGGCAGGTGGACGGCGACGTGCTCAGCGGTGTCTGCTTTGTGGGCATCAATAACGTGGATGCCCTCCGCGGCTTCGTCCTGGCCCCCTTGTTCGTCTACCTGTTCATCGGCACCTCCTTCCTGCTGGCTGGCTTTGTGTCGCTCTTCCGCATCCGGACCATCATGAAGCATGATGGCACTAAGACAGAGAAGCTGGAGAAGCTGATGGTGAGGATTGGGATCTTCAGTGTCCTCTACACGGTGCCTGCCACCATCGTCATCGCCTGCTATTTTTATGAGCAAGCCTTTAGGGAACAGTGGGAAAGGAGCTGGGTCACCCAGAGCTGTAAGAGCTATGCCATTCCCTGCCCCAACAACCACAGCAGCCACCACCCGCCCATGAGTCCTGACTTCACTGTCTTCATGATCAAGTATCTCATGACCTTAATCGTGGGCATCACCTCAGGCTTCTGGATCTGGTCTGGGAAAACGCTCAATTCCTGGAGGAAGTTCTATACTAGACTCACCAACAGCAAGCAGGGGGAAACCACCGTGTGAAGCCCAGCCCCACCTGGCTGAGGGAAACCTTGTGCCTCAAAGGTGGGTGAGGGACCTGTATCCAGCTCGCCATGTGGCCACCATCCTAGCTGGGATGGGGGGAAATGCTTGCACAACAGTCAGACTTTCTGGACTGCTAACGGCATCTCCAGCCTACAGGGAACTGAGAGAAGAGAGGCAGGTGGGGAAACTCCTAAACTGGGACAGACTCTCTTTCTCTTTCTCCCTCTCTCTCTTTTTCTGTCTCCTGTTGGAACTGAACATACTGTGTCCTTTGGGGAGAGGGCTGTAAATAGTCTCTGTAAGATTTTGTAAGTATATTTGTACTGTATTTAAATTGCAAAGATCTCTCACTTTTTTTAATTATTTAGGACATTTTTAAAGCCATTTACAGATTCCCCCCCCCCCCGC